AATGTATTTATTCATGCTCCAAACTTGCTACTCATCTTCCTGCTCTCATCCCTAAAAGGCCATCATAATCACGGGGCAAAGCCTTCCTTATTTCCAGTGCCCTCCACTTCACAGCTAACACGAGTGATCTGCTGTGCATGGAGCCCTCTCTCCAAGGGCCAAGCCATGGATCACTTTCAGTAGGAAGAGCACCTCTCCTTACTTAGGTGGAATCATTCCAGGGACTCGGGCAGCCCCAGAAAGAGCCACATTGACTCAAGTAAGAGAATAAAGAGTTGCCGAATAAGACAGAACCCGAGCACTCACTTCCCCCAAGAGAGAAAAGGTGAAGCTGGTTTTCTGGGACGAATGAGTGGAGTGGATGGTGAAGGGTCACACCCTCTGTGACTCCTGGCTGGGGGCGCAACCCTGTTCACATCCCCAGCTCCAGACATGGGCTGCTCTCGGCTCAGCTGGCAAGAAGGTCTATGGGGCTTGAATGATCGTAATGGATTAGTAACTAAGGATCCTGCTCTGGAAAATGAATTGCAGAGTTCAGTATGAAGCAAATGGACTGTCTGAAATTCAATTCATATGGGTCCATAAATGAGAAAACTCTGGCTCCAAAAAGCTGGAGGTACAAGACAGACATCTCTTCCAAGAGAAAATCCAGAATAAATGCATTATTTAAAACTTTATAATTTGGGTATCTACGAATACTCTGTCTAGTTTTTAAAAGGGAGTTTCGTTAAATGGATTCGGACACTAATTTTTTTTTTTTTAAAGCCCACACTCAAAATATAAGAGAAAGAGTACTTTCTTCATTAAGGCGAAAGTAGTCACTTGAACGTATAACTGTACTATGAGGGAGGGGAGCGTAATATGGCAATTGACTCAATTTCCAAGTGAAATCTGAAAACAAGCAGTACCTTTTAGCCTCAAGAGCACTGTGCACCCCCACAGAATACAATAATGCCTCCTGGAGTTATGCAGAACTGAGCAATGCAAGGCATGGGATACGGAGAAGACCAGGAAGGAAAAATCTGCTCCACTCTGGATACACATTCAGGTTCTGTCATGAATGCTCCAAAAAAAAAAAAAAAAACAAAAAACAAAAAACAACTCAATAATCTAATTAAGTGCACTCACTGATATTTTTCCAAAACATTGCACTTTTCTGTATGGCTTCCACACGGACTCTGTGGTCAGAGCAAACAATTTGAGAGAGTGAGAGACATTCCAGTTTATCCACAGGTCCTGGTGAAGTCAGTACAGAGTAACTTTCAGAAGAAAAGGGGAAATTCCCCACCTCCAGTGTTTCTTCAATTCCAAGCTACTTGAATTAAATGAACATAATGCAGGCATCTTACACTTTCTAGGACAACCTTTCCGTGACAACTCAGGAAAAGAAGATGCCTACATCCCACCGTCCGACCTGTAAGCCCATGAATGTAAAGTCATGATTTTGAGTTAAGAAAGGAAATATTAAGAAATTCTACTATTATTTCCAGGACACTTCAAACAATGTGAGTCTCTATGCTCTGTCTACACTGTCTGACCAGGCACTGTGGGTAATGCCCTGAGAGACAGAGGCAGGGTAAGCTTTTAAAGGCACTGCATTTAACAAGCTGGGTCCTTTAACACAAACGGACAAATTTCCGTACATATTTTTAAGCCCCGGTGGTTATTATTAGGCTGTAATTGTAGTTGTTCTAACACCTAATAAGCCATGGTTGGAAAAACAAAGGCAGGTTAATTTGTGATTTCCTCTACTCATTCAGAGGCAAATTAAGTGTCAAACGGCTAATACGGAACATATTTCATTTTATGAGATTTTAATTTAATTCTGCACCATATCGTTGATGCCTTAATATAGGGTGGTTTATCTAAAAAGAGGAGCAATTTATAAACCTCTTTCAATAGAATCTTTAATGATAGGATATGATAGCTTAATTATCACAGTTCCTGCCATCCTTCTAAACAGAGATCTGGCGGTGCTTCTGTCATCAACACAAATCCCATTTTCAAGAGACTTATAATTTCGTTTTTAAACCTGGCACCAGAAGGACAATTATGTGTACAAAATAATGAGAATATCCCCCAATTTTGTCCTGGTATAATTAGAAATGTTTATCCTAAAAACTCTGTAAGCTCACTTGATCTCATTTTCTAGAAGACAGTTACAGAGAGAGCATTTTGGAACCTGCGTTCTAGATAAAACCATTTTACTTTTCCAGGATACTGCTTTACGGCTCAGCAAAGATGTCTACATTTCAGCAATGAAGCCATCCTGGCCCAGATGACCCTCCGCTCCCAAAATGATCACAGGCGTCTACTCCTAGCACCTGAGAAGGTGCAAAAGCAGGAAGGGGTTCGTGATTGAGCGAGGCCAGTGTTTCTCGGGCCCCCACTGCCTCGAATGCTAACTCCCAGCACTCGTTTAGAGCCCTGGGCTCCGAAGACTACCCACACGTATAGGACTTCATTGAACTCCTCCTGCAATTTGGGGAGTCCGGTAAGGCAGAAAACCGCACTTCCAGGGGATGAAACCGCTCCACGCAAGGGTAGGTTACCAGAGTTCCCAGAACAGGTGAGTGTAAATAAAGCAAGCGTGGGGGGATTGGAGCTGTCCTGCTCATCCAGTCTCCTGGATGGACAACCTTTTCCAAGGGGCCTGGCCGGGTGCTGGGCACTGCCGGGCAACGAGCAGGAAACCACCAGGAAAGGGGGTATGCACCACAGTGAAGGCTCACGTGGGGTGCTCTGAGGAACAGCCTCGGGAACACCAGCAGAAATGACATTTGAATTAGGCCTTGAGGATGAGGAGTTGAAGCAGAAGTTGGCCACGCAGCAAGGGAGGGCCACTGAGGGCCCTAAGAATGTCCTGTTACAAAGGCGCACGGGAGAGATGGGCCCTACCCTCCCGGAGCCAAGTGCATAAGCCCAGGTTCGCCATCTACAACCCTGCTAGGGCTAGCAGTCCCGGGGGGCCACAGACCCACCTCCTCACTACACTCTGCCCACGGCAATGATGCTCCGAAGCCTCCAGGACTCTCCTGTAGGCCTCGGGAAGGTTGACTAGCCTGACATTGTGAATGTTGGTAACGGTCCATTTAGGAAGCTAGACAACCATTTAGTCAATTGTGTGAAAGTACCCGAAGGCTTGGCTGGAAAAGCAGGAAGTCCCTAAAACCTATAAAAATCCCAGCTCAGCAGTCATACCTGAAATGCAACCCCCAACCCCAGGACTTTCCAAACTTGACCTGCCTCATCTTGCGGTGTCCTTATCACAGGTGAGCTAATACTGAAGGTACAGTGATCAGGGCCCAGAACACAACGTGTGGGCTATGTGAGGGCTTGCTATTGTTGTATTCTGCCAAAGAACCAAGACTTGGGATTTTTAACGGTTAAATTCATATTTGCATTTAATAACAAGGCAAACTGTAATGAACCCATAGGAACTAGTTCATTCCATCATATAAACTCATTTTTGGGGGAAGTTTCTCTGTAACAGGATTTTGGGAAGCACAAAGAATTCTGAAATTCCACAGAAAATCTGATTTAAATTACCACGTCACAGAGACCGGAGTCTGGGAGGAATCAGCCATGTGCATCTCCAAAGCTGGTCTGGTCCTTGCTGGCTCTGTACCACGGGGCAGAGCCTCGTCGAGGACCTTTGTGGGCCCATCTGCCCCGCAAAGCCTCCAGACCACAGGGGTGAATTACACGGCAGGTTTTGGCCTGAATTTGGAACGTCCTTCCCTTTTTGTATACGGGTTTTTAATTGGCCTCATGGTTTTATTTGAGTATATTTTTAGCAGGCTTCAGAACCCTGTGAACACTTCCTTGTGTTCCAGTGAAAAATCAAAGAATAAGTCACAAGTTTCTGTATTCCCTCTTTATAAATACCCACTTCTCCTTTAATGCTCATGGAAGTCTGCAACACAGATTTATTACTTACCTCCAGGCAAATCTGCTCTGAAATTACAATTCAATAATGGGGGATGGATCCAAAAAACTGTTGGTAAAATATTATATGTGTACATGGGCATGTAGTTACGGCTGTTAATATCAATTAATTCTGTTCACAGAGGAGGACTTGTTTTAAAACAACTTCATTTTTCTTTGGCATATACGTAATTACACAGCTTAACTAATGGCCACGGAGACGCAATCTACCATCTAAATAACCAGCATTATTCTTCAAAGTATTATTTGTGCTTTTCTAACTTTACTGTCTCAGAATGTAGGGTGATTACCAGATCTGACTAAATGTATACATCAAGGCCATGAGGAAAGGGCGGCCCCTCCCAGACGCTGGCTCCGGTAATTACAGTTCCAGACGGTCCCCCGGACATGACGACAAGAGAATACCATCTTAGTGTGGAAGTCCACTACTCTTTTTACCCCCAACCTGGGTGAGATAATACTTGTTTCCACAAAATGCTCTGCTTTCTTTTCTAATGTACGTGATCACCATCATTCTTTCCCTTTATCTTTGTGTAAATCACGCACTTGATCATGGGTGCCGTTCTGTTTGGGAGACATTTGCATCAATCAAGTCCCTGTCGCCGGGCACACCATGGGGGCCCTGAAAATTCACCATGAAAATTTCATGACAATTCGTTGTGCTCGCTGGGACAGGAAGGACTTCCAGGTAACGGGAACGTTAGCATGAAACTCTTCAAACCCAATCTCTCCCAGATACATATTCTCTGAGGGCTAAGTTTCCATTAGACCTCGACTGTTTAATTTAGTATTTACAGCCCACAGAACACACGTCAGCAAAATATATAGTGAATACTTGCCAGCCACCTAGTGTGACAGGCATTCTTCAGGAAGCAACGGGGATCTGCTTCAGTGAGTCCAGGAACAGACAGGCTTGCCATATTTCAAAAGTAAATCTTATACTCCTATCACATCTTCAAAGCCCGGGAGGCGCACCGTTAACAAAACGTCGTGGGACAGGAAGAGCTCGTGCTCGGTTCTACTTCGTTAAAGGGTCAAGTTTTACTACTTACACATGCAGTGGAGGAATTGGAGACGGGTCATAATGGTAACGCCCCTCATGATGTCTCGCATCGATTGGTACAGGAGGGTGGAATGCAGGAAAGAGATGAGAAGGGTCTGAAACAGAAAGAAAATCCAGCATGTATAAAAGGAACGCTCTGAAACAGAATCCCAGCCCCCGACACCACACCGCGCTTCTGCCTTCACAACGTAGGCCGGGTCCACTTTCGAGAATCTGTGGAAATACTCTTCCAAGGTCATTAGGAGGCCACAGGGGACCCCAGAAGTACGACCAAGCACCTCGTACCTGCGCCCCCAAGGACATGGGGGTGAGGAACGTGGCGACAACCGACACGGAAAAACAAGAAAGGGGAATAAGGCATGTCCCATCCTGAAGGGAAGGGTAAAGGGAGCGACAAAACCAAAAGGAACAGATTTCAAGACACACGTTTCTTTCTATAATTGTACCGTCAATGGAAATTTAGACAAGACGTAATATAAAGACTAGTTTTGTTTCTCTCGTATCCATGATGCTTCTTAAAAGAAAGAGTCTTTTCTAAAGTCCCTGCTAGAATCCACGGGTCTATATACATGTATGTCTGCTCTGTCATACATATGCATGGTACACACACACACACAGACGCACACGTCCACATGATTTTAATATTTAAAGGCACACTCCCCTCCTTCCTGTCCTGGGTCAGGCCTCCACAGTCCTGACACAAGGACAAGGACAGCAAATCTACAGGTTAGCCAGAGAAATGGGCTAACCGGGCCGGAGGAGGTGGGAGGACCCTCTCACACTGACAGGGGGAGGCTGGGAGCAAAGGAAGGCCGGCAGCCCTGACATTCACCTTGGACCCAGACCGGCCTCTCCGCTGTCGGGCTCAGGCTGGGGTTAGCGTTCCCTGGGCTCCCATGTGTGTACTACTTCAGAGAGTTCCTCAACTCCTTTGACTAGAGTAACTTAAGCGGACCGTCTCTGACAAATCTGAACATGAACGTTTTTGTTTTTGTTTTTTTTCTAAATAGTGATCCACCGTAAAACCTGAAGAGAATTTTGCCAGATTTTATCATGAGAAGCTTGGCTGATCCCAAGTTTCTCCCCACGTTTCAGGAAACAAAGGGATGGAGTGAAGGTGTCTCCACGGCCGTGAGCCCTGCATTACAGCATATACACCGAAGCCTCTCTTCAAATATTGCCTTCCACACACGCATGCTATTGCAGGCGAAGAGAGTCCCAGGGATTGATGTGCACGCCAGAGGTGCCTCAGGAGGGCTTCCAGCGTTTTCTAAAAGTCTGAAGGTTTTGCTGGACCTGAGGTAGCCAGTAGAACAGACGATCCAAATGAGGCCCCGCAAACAGGTTCTGAGTTGCGTCTGGAAGAAGGGACATAGAAGCTCCAGGTGGGGGTGAGGGGCTGTGCCAAACACGGACCAGGCGTGACCCACCTCCACACCGTGGATGTGCACACGTCCCCGTGTCTGAGTGGTGTGTGTGTGTGTGTGTGTGTGTGTGTGTGTGTGTGTGAGATGAATTCAGGTGTTTTTCCTTTTCCTCCCTATACATTTCTCTTTCTCCTAAACTTTCTTCAACAAGCATCTTTTAGAATGTCAACGTAACAACCTTTTTAAAAAAAAATTATGAAACCTTACTTCCCTTGTTCGAACTTTGCCCTTGCTTCCTTCCTTTGAGAATCGACTAGTAAGGTTAGGAGGAAAAAAAAAAAATAAAATAAGAGTGAAACACTCTTGACACAGCGTTGACAGAACCAAGGCAATGCCCGAAGGTATGGGTCCACCAGATGTGGAAACTTTCTTGGAAAACCTCTAGGACTGGGAGAGGAATGTTGTAACACAAAGGCTTTCTGACTGTATCCAGGGCTGCTTGTAAGATAAAGGAGGGACAAGAGGAATCATCGTGGGGCCTGGCTAGTCACTGTGATATCACCAAGAACAGCACGCTGGAAACTGAACTGGCGAAGGATTTCCAACCACCTCATCACTTGCCACGCTATACGCTGTATAAATTCCACACACACACAAATCAATTCTATTTTAAGTGCACTGCTTAGGACTTAATAGTAAAGGGTGTTGGCATCTTTTGTAATGCAAATCTTCATGGCTGGCATGCTAAGTTTGAAAGTTGATCTAGCACTGCTGTCAAATTCAGTCCGGGCGCCCCGCAAGTCAGTCATCCTGCGGAGCCAAAATGTCCAATTTCACTTAACTATTTTCGACGAAAATGATTCATCCTTCTTAAAACAACCTACTATTGAGTGGAGTAATCTTTTTCACTAGTTTGAAAGTCTGACACACGTTCAGTAAATATTTCCAGATTTTGAATTCTGAACCAGGCCTCAATGTGTCAGATTTGAGTCCAGGGTGAGGGGGATGGCCACCAGACGCGGGCGGGGTGGGGGTCTCCTTCAGTGGTTGCTGCTCACATGAACACACTTGCCTCCCGTGGACTTCAAACTTAGTTCACATCATCTGCTCTTAGAAATCAGAGAAATAAGGCCACGAGCACTGTGTTTCAGTCAAGTATTCAAAAAGTCTGGCCCACCTCCTGAGGGTTTCTCCCACATATTTTTCAGGACTGTTTTGAGGGACATTGTGACAGGCACACCAGAGTTGGAAGATCTTTTCACATCTTCCCTTCCTGGCTCTTGGCTGTGATCTGTGTGATTTAATTCTCTCCACCAGATAAGTGGGTGTCAACCGTATCTGCTTTTCTCTATGTGGGTTCAACGATGAATTACGACAAGGCACAAATCCACATTTTTCATATACATGGGGCTCAAAATGTGTGAATTTATTCCACTTTCAGTATCTGCCTCATACATCTAGGAAGTAACACCCCTTCTCATCGTTTGAGTTTTGATCATGAAGTTGCGCTGATTATGTGCACACAGGCAAAGACCGACCTGTTGATCCTATAAAATCAAGAGTGCACCCGAGCAGCATAAAAATCTCCTCCCCAAGAAAACCTGTAGGGCTGTCATGGACATTTAAAAGGCACTGCCACCTTTTCACTTTAATGAGAAGGTATTTTAACAAGATTTTAATTCACTCTTATTCTCGCCCTCTCTCCTTCCAGAACGAAAGAGAAAATGACCAAGCACTGCAAAAACAATTTGAGAGAAAAACGGAAGATGCAATTATTGGGACATTCGTTGTCCTTCCTCACTGTTGCATCTGATGTCTTGTGAGCTTAAAAGTTCATTCTGACTGAGAGTATGTGCTTATTTATGTCCTAAGGAAATCTGTGGATTCTGCATTCTGGAATTAGGGTAAATAAAGAACAAAAATTAATGGGATTGATCTGATTTGAGCACACACATCTGGTCTTAGTTTAAGCATTTTACTCTTTCTATTTGCTTCCCTCTTGATGCAGCCTAAAATAAGTTCTCTTGGACTGATGAAGTCTGTGCAAACAACTCTTCCTGGTGCATCCGTGATCAGTGGAGACCACAGCTCCTGAGCTACCTTCCGGGAAAAATGCACTGCAACACCCCTCCTGCACTTCGAGACATGCCTGAGCACGGCTTAATGGTATAAACGAAGAATACAAACAAACAAACAAACAAAAAAAAAAACAATGATTCTGTCCCGTCCCGTCTGTGCCATCGCATGACATTAACCCTCATGCATTGCTCGCACAGAAAAAAGTTCCCAAATCCTCCAATGCTGGGTGCTTCCCTTGCACCCTGGCCTGTCATTTGTATGTGGAAGATCGCAGTGTATTCCATCACGGGCCCAAGGAGCCGTCCAAGAAAACCCGCACGACAAGAACAGGCGTGTGTTGCCAGCAGCCACCATAATTAACCACCACGCGGGTGACTATTTACACACGAGCAGCACAGCTGTGGAACATCATAACTCAAGTGGATGTGTGCAGAAAGATGCCGCACCGCAGCCCTCTCCTGCTCGGGCCCTTGACAAAACACCGCATGATGACTTTTCCAAAGTCAGGAGAAAACTGCTGAAGCAGAAGGAAGTGCCACTAAACCTGGCTACCTCCTATTTATCATACAATTTCCTGACTGATGGTTCCACAAACCAGCTGCTAAGTGCTGTGTACTCTACTGTCAGCAAACTAACGGGCTAAATGGAAGACGGGGAGAATAATGTGCAGAACTGGTAGAATCAATTTTACTGAGGGAATTAAAATTCTACCAGGTGGGGGTGAGGCTGCGGAGCCGTGGTAAGCAGTCAACTGTACATGCTTATGGTTGCAAAGATGATTTATTGCATACGTGCAAGAGGCTTGACTATTAGACCAAATTCCTCTTGTACTAACCCGAGCTTTGAAGAGTGCGTATTATCCAAGGCTTCAGTGGAATAGCCTTTAAACCCCATAAATATGTAATTGGCTTGACACGTGTTTAAATTGAAATGCATAGTAAAAATATTTGTGCTGGGTATAGTTGTCAGTGTTCGATTTCATGCTGGCTGTCATCACGGCACGCATTAAGGGTCTCATTAGGAATGAGAGGCATTGATTTCGAGGTCTCTTCACAACAGCCTGGGTTGATCGTAAAAGCTATAGCCAGACAAAGACACTTCGAGATTTATCTTTGGTTGCATCTTTCTCCCAAGAAGTAGTTTTAGGATCCCCGGGCTAGAAGATCTCTTAGATGCCACTCTGGAAAACTGTCTTTTAAGGTATGAAATTTCCATATAAAAATTGCAGTTTAAAAAAGAGAGATCAAAGTTGGCTCACTTCATGCCCTAAAGGAGTATAATTCACAGAGGGTACTTGAGGGTCCAAGTTCTCCTGGCTAATTTAAAGACTGAAGTCGTCTGCGCATTCACTTTGGAACTTACTCGAGACCAGAACTAGATAGAGATTATTGTTCCTGTCATTAGGGCAAAACCCTGCCCGTAGGAATGTCCAAGCCCCTCAAATTCACTCAATCGCCTGTTGTCAGCAGAAATATCATTAAAATCCCATGTGGCCACCAGCCACTATACCAGAATATATCACCAAAATAATCACCCGGTGACTATCGAATGGGAAGTCTCAAGCCAGAGAAAGGGAGAGGGAGAGAGACCCTTCCCCCTTCAGGGAGATGGGGAAGAGTCACCGGGGGTCTTGTCTCTGCCTCTTCCGC